AAAAAATCTGGGAGCATATTTTTGATAAGTTTTGTGAGCTGCTCTTTCTAATAGTCCCAAGTTAGTGCTGATCGAGCTTTTCTTTGAGAAGTTACCAAATAATTGTTCTTACAGTTTCTTGCAATTTCCTCGAAAGTTGTAAATCATAGAAAAGCTTCAGTACAAACTTGACACTGTTACAAAGATCAACTGAGCAAATGTGGGAAAACATGCTTTCAGATTTTTTGCCCCGTTTTAGATTTTGACGATTTAATTTCGGAAAGCGGAACTCTGAGAGGTTATGTTTTCCATTTTTTTATCTCTGGACTCTCTTGCTGTCAAAGAGCCTCAAAGGTGCTATGCTATGTATTAGGAAGTAGATATAATTTTCTTTGTGAAGATATTTTTCGTAAGCAAATATGTTCACATAGAGAGTATTTACGATTTTTTCAAGACATTACTTTTGTTCCAACCTAATAGAACTCGTTTGATTTTTAAAAAACCTCACGTTTGGTAAGCTGTGATTTTCATTGAATCTAAGAAAAGACTGTTTCCAGATGGTACATGGAAAAATGACAGGCATAGGCTGCGCTTACAAAGTCTGCTCAGCTACAAATGCATTGACCGTCACATGCCTGTACAATAAAATGTGCGAGCCAGTTTTGCTCTAGCTAATAGTAAAAGTACATCACTTTTTATTTTGTAGCGGATACTATACGAATGGCGTGATGTTTGAGAATGGGACACCTTGCACATCAGCGGCAGATTGTACCACCTATCCCGGGTCTTCATGCTCCGGGGGACTCTGTGTGCACACTCCTGAGCCAGCTGGTAAGCTTCAATTTGGTGCTTACAAGCACCGTCTAAACAAATTAAGAATTCTGAGATTCCGATCCTGTATCAGAGCGAATTCCCTAACTAGGTAATCGCTCAAATTCCGCCGAAAAAACGAATTTTAAAGCAAAAAAGGCTTCAAAAGGTAGGGGCAGTCCAGGTGTCTCCGCCCATCAACGTAGGTGGTCTGAAGATGATGAGTTTTACAGCGGGCTTCAAAGCAAATAGAAATTTCGGAAATCTAATAATCATAGTAATAGGGTTATAGGACAACTGTAGATACAATTAAAGCATTTGGGCTTTTATTTTCAAACCGCCCACGTGGATGGGCGGAGCTACCCTAGACACTTCTACCTTCTCAAACGGTTTTCTCCCTTCGGAATTGATCTCTTGCTGCTGAACTTGGGCGATTAACTCGTTAGCGGTCCCACTATGATACAAAGTCAAAATCCAACCTCATTCTGGCTGGACGGTGCCTTCAAGAACCTTCAAGAATGCTGAAAAGTACCACTATTATGTCTATCTGCAGATACTGGTGCCAACACTATGTGCCCATCTAATGCAAATATGACCGATGCAAGCCGAAAGAAGTTTTTAGAGACGCACAACTATCTGAGGTATTGGAGGGATATTTTATTAGTAAGAGTGCCAAATGCTTTCTTAGGTCTCGTCTTGCTATTGGGCTAGAACCTGATGCACTGGGGGGAAATGCACCAAAGGCCTCGCAAATGCTCAAAATGGTAACTTAACTTTACTCTCTATCTAACCCTATTTATAAAACTGCAGGTTTACGATTGTGATGTGGAAGCTTCAGCGATCAAGCACAGTCAGAAATGCGTTTACGAACATTCGGCATCATCTGACAGACCAGGGTTAGGCGAGAATCTCTATATGACAACTGCTTTGAATGTTGACAAAGTGACAACGGCAGCTGAGGTTGGCTTCAAATCAAAAAGAGTCACTGATCATTGATAATTCATTAAATACTTAGTCGTCTCAAATGTGGTGGGACGAATTGAAAGAATATGGTGTAGGGCCAGAAAATAACCTTACGCGAGCGTTGTGGGACAGGCCAGGAATGCAGATTGGACATTATTCCCAAGTTAGAACACATTTCAAGCTCGATTTCAAAGTCTTGAGTGCCTTTCTCAGATGGCTTGGGATCGAACTTACAAGCTTGGCTGTTCGATCCAGCACTGTCCAACATTCACTTACTCTGTGTGCCAATACGGACCAGCGTAAGATCTCTTTAGATTAAGGACCGAGCATATATCACGCGATCTCAACGTCTCGCAATTCCTCCAACAAGACAACTGTCACAAGTTCATTTTGCCGATCTTGCATTTCAGTTGTGATAGTTGTTCGCTACTATTCGTGTGTAGAACTACCACCATCGCAATGCAAGGTCGGCAGGCAGTGGATTCGTAACAGTTGTCTTGTCAGGAGAATCGCGAGGGGATGAAATCGCGTATATGCCCGGACCCTCATGCTACTCTCCGTACGTACTTTCTCTCTTTAGCGGAAACTACATAAACCAGCTGATCTACACAATGGGCGAACCTTGTACAAGCGATGCCGGATGTCCAGGATCGTACACTTGTAGCACGAGCGAAGGTCTTTGTAATGTTGTCTGAGAAGATTAGAATATTGGAGGTTACGAGTGGAAGCTTGCTAAAAGTTGATAAATCTGTTTTGATTTTGCCATTTGTTTAGTCGTTTGCAGATGTATTACAAATTTTTCTTAAAGAATCTTCATTAATGTAAAGTAACTATTACTAACAAATTAGGAGTGATTAGTCGAAATGGTCTTGAAGCTTTGTGTTGAATATTAGTGAACGATTCATCAAAAAATGTTAGATTTGCATCCGCGCGCTTCGGGACCGCACCGTGGTTTCCCGCTATCTGATGCTTTTCAAACGGCACTAAAATTCTTTATATAATTGTGATGTTTTTCAAATTGGCTTACGATTTTTT